GCACTGGGAGCTGCTGGAGAAGGTAGAGACTATTGACGCTTCTATATACATTACCCAGCTGTGAAAATTGAAAGATCACGTCGACCGTACATATGGATCGAATGCGGAAATCTACATCCACCACGACAACACCCGCCCTCACACCGCAAAGGCGACCCAGGCCGAGCTGGAAAAGCACGGATGGCTTGTTGTCGCACAGCACCCCTACAGATGTGACCTCGCACTCGACGACTTCCTCAAGTCCCAGACTCCGTCCTTCTAGGAGGAAGGAATCAACAGGCTGCCTGGGAGTTGGCGTTGAGTAGTGGATGGTAATAGGGCAACCTCCAATCTTCTGACCAGTTCGCTATCGAGAAGTTTACAAAAAAGTTGGAGGAAAACTTATGCAACAACCTAATACAGTCGATGGAACTGTCAAATACACAACTGTACTCGGCTTCGATTTATTTCAGCTTCATTTTAATTCAAGTCCAAAGTTCTTGTGTATCACTAGTCCATTGACAACTTAAATAGGGATCAAAAGCTCACCTACTTTCCTCTCTTTTTTACAATTCAAGCGCTTCATTAAAGCAGTAATTGTCATTTGCTCATGAAGTGCATGGAACTAAAAGTGTCCAGTCAATGACGAATGCAATGTTCTTGTTGGTAATCGAAGTATATGCCGATGTCATACGATGCCAAATGCATTGATACTTCAGTCATAGAACGTGAATAAATAAAATTTACAAAGTTCATAAGATTCTGAATGACATAAACAAAATAAAGCTACAAGAATTCACTGAAAGATGTGAAAAGCGTGTCGAATTCCGACGCAGTACAACCATCAGCACGGTTACCCGATGATACCGCACAATAAGTATGCATGTATGTAAGCGCGTTGCAAGAGTGACGTCGCACGGTTCCTGCGGAGTGTCATGATAGACTGGAATCGGCTCTACGGACTGCTGACTTTGGAAGATGGATTTGTTGGCCGTTGTCCCACGAGATTATGCAGCACTGATCACCCATTAGCTGAAATGCCATAGTTTTTTACTGCATACAAATGAATATAAATTACAAATGGTGGCCGTTTATTGCACTGTTGCGGAGCTCACGTCCCTTCTGATTCGGGGAATATTCCTCCGTAAAACTTCACGATAGATGCTAAAAGTTCTATATTCCGGGACAAGCTTGCTACCGGGAGCAGAGGCCTCGGCTCACTTGGGAAAATACTGATTTCCAAAGGGAAGCATAGAGTTCCATCAATTGCATTCTTTAAGCTTTATGTTTTTACTAACCGCTGCAGAATGCAATACGAGAGAATTACAAGGATGGCGAGTTGTCAGCAAAACTTTGGCCTGAAAAGAGATTTGAACCCGGACTTCTGCCTTCCAGGCGTGTTCAAGTTTCAGCTCTCCAAGGCATGTGGTTTACTCACAACTCGACATCCTAACTATATTATTTAGTCCTTTCTTTTCCATTGATGGTCTGGAAGAATACCAATTTTATCGTATTAAAAATTCGTGAGATTAATGCTTGAGTAGTTTTCATATACATTAAAAACGACCCTGTCATCTTGCCCACTTGCCTTCATCTATTCCATGAAATTCGGCAAATGCGCTAGGGAAAGATTTGAATTAAGAATTAGGGGAGATTCAGGTAGCACCTTTAGATCACTAGTGAGTCACTTAAAGTAAGAAAAAGAGATGGTGCCAGCAGAAAGCTTCAGAGGTTGATTAGATCAGTCACAATGTCGGAGAAACGCTGTAGTTGATGACTTTATATGACTTACCTCGTATGAACCCCCTAAATTAGGTGGTTCTCAAGATACCATAACTTTTCCATTGGGCACTCTGAAGGGACCACTACAGGAGGGCACAGCATTTTACCCCGTGGCTAAAGGGCTATAGGATACCCAGCAGTAGATCTCATGCTGTTACTTCTTCCTGTCTTCGCCACTTCACCTTTTTTGAACAGCCCTTATAATTCTCACTGCGCATGATGGAATTACATATTTCGTCAAGAATTTATGGTCCGCTTTCTTAGAGCTAATCATTTTTGGCAAATTCCGACTCAATTCTATCCTGATCGGCAAATATTCGGGAAAAGTCACTTAGCACCGGTGGCCTGTCGAATCATTGTCCATTCATTTGCGGTAGGTTTGGGCTGTTTTTTGGGTCGAATGTAGGAGGTAAACTGCCACAAAAAGTGACAAGTAGAAGTACCTGAGTAATTTCTCCTCTCATGATAAGCATGTGATGTCTCATTGGTTCCCAATCTTCATATTTGATATCAAAGAGATACGAACATTTTGGATCTTGGTATTCCTCACAGCCAATGCACCTTGCCAGGGTATGGTTGTTTCTGAAAGGAAAACATTAGAAACCGTCTTTCTGGGGGAATTCCAGCGGCACTTACCTATCGTAAATGAAGGGCAACGTCAGCGAATCATCCACCATATACCTGGAAATACGAAATTAAATATAATCATCAGCCGAAACGGTCACCACAGTCCCTCTAGACAGGGGAAGCTTTCGAAATGGTCGTCATGGATCTTTTCGACTGCGGAAGCATCATCTGGGGCAGTACAGAATAATGATAACTCAACTGGTATCTGTTTGTCATAGGAGAGGCACCGGTGATCATTGTGGTGGAGCGTTCTACTTTGGGATGGAACCGAGTTAAAAATGAATGGCTACATTCTTCCTATCGAAAACAGCGTTCCAAAACGATCACTTAATCACAGGTTTCCTATGGTGCTCTTGATTTTTCTTGATTTTTGCGCTCCTTCAAACCACCCGTTCTGATTGTTACAAAAAAATGTTTTTCTATTTGAGACACCTGTTCTAGCTACTCAAAAAAGGGCTTACAAGCTCTCCTAATAATAGCTCTTTCTTCCTTTCCGCTTTCCTAATAGCTGAAGTCAGCCAGTAGAGGTCTGCCAGTTTTGCATGCAAAGTCGAACAAGTTCAGCCCATTCCCCATTCCTTTAAAAGACCCCATTCCGTAAAGGCTATTGAAGATACGACATTAACACAGGACTCATGACTCATGCTTTGGTTATAATTGAAATTTTCATTTTTACAACCTGTTAACGTTCACTAGCACTAGCATGTGATAGGCACTTTTTGGTTTCTATTATTCTCGGTATTACTAGAACACAACTCGTGCATTAATATTGATAATTTTTATCTTCATAATTTCTGTATTTTTTCAACAGGTCCCAGTACAGACCAGTTGAGTGAACTGAGGTCTGCCTGTGAGATGAGATAGGTCCGCTGCACCTGTGTGCCCTTTCCTTTTTCTTCTTTCCCGTTTTCAAGTGATGTCATGTGACGATGGTGTTTAAGAGCTTGACTCTTTAGGGTATCGTCCATTCACGTTATCGTTCGCAAAATATTTTGCAAGTTAAATGGCTCACCTTACGAATGGCCTCCAGTACAGAGCAACGGCGTCTCTCTTCCATTGTACTTCGTCGCCAACGTTCAATATTTGAGGGGAGCACAGTTCAGCTAGTCCAGTTATGTTGTAAAACTGAATTTAAAGTTTTTCACAGAGTAAGCACCAAAGTGACTTTTCGAGCCTCACATGGGTACGAGCTTAAGCAAGTTTTCCCTAGCCAAAGTATCCTTTCATTTTATTAGGTTGACCGGAAAGTTTCCCGCTACG